GAAGTGTCTTGCAATTCGTTGCTTTCCAATATGATCCTTTGGGATTTTTTAGTCCCCGCAATGATCCAGTTCAAACTATTCCTCCAAAACATATGGAAAAGAAATAATTCTTGGGATCAAATCCTCGATGAAAATGATAAAGAAGCATGGCGATCTCTTACAAAGGAATGGCCCGCAGACATTACCGAGATACCGATGTTAGCTACAAAAAAGCAGATCAACAACTCCATGTCTTCACGGACCATCAGGTGTTGCGTATTCACTTGCTGCATACATTTTAAACAAACATGTCGACGAAAGAAATAGCCCAATACTTTTCGCCAAATCAAGACTCGGTCTAATTAAAGGTATGACCATACCACGGCTGGAACTACTAGCAACACTTACTGGTGTATGAGCCGCCAACTTTGTTATAAAGCAATTGAGTATGAGAAAAATCCCAGTAGTGTTATGGTCGGATTCAAAATGTGCATTACACTGGATATCGATCGGAATTACTACCCAAATTCATGCAAAACCGAGTAGAAGAAATATGAAAGGTAAATTTCTTATTTCGACATGCACCAAGTGAAGATAATCCAGTCGATATTGTGACTAAAGGACTTTTTCCCGTAGAACTTAGGCAATACAAGCTATGGTGGGAAGGGCCATCGTGGTTGACAGACCCCGAAAGCGGATGGCCTCAATGGGAATACCAGTCCACAGAAAAATTTAAGGACAAAGAAGAACGAATCGTTGCAAAGGTTGCTTCCCAAACAATTGAGGTAACACAATTCTCGCTTATAGATGGAAGTTGGTTCAATAAGTGGTCTAAACTTGTAAGAACCACCATTTGGGCTCTCAAATTTATTAAACTCACGACAAAGGCACTTTAAATTAGTCAAATGGGTGCTAATTAGATAAGCGCAGACAGAAGGATTCAACGAGGAGGAAAAGAAAAACGGAATTTGTACTGCGATGACAGAAAGCTATGGAGATCACAGAGTCGATTGGAAAATTCGGAACTAGACGAGGAAAGCAAAATTCAATCTACTTACCGAGACACAATGCGATTACCGAACATTTGATACGACAGTAACATAAAAAGCTATGTCATGCTGGAACAGCGCATGTTCTTTCGGAAATGAGGCGCAAATTTTGGATACCGAGAGGACGAATGGAGGTGAGATGTGTTATAGCAGGCTACACGGGCTGCAAACGTTGGTCAGCTAAGCCATTTAAACTACCAGCTATACCGGATCTTATTGAATCATCAGTTTTACGTTCAAGAACCTTTGCAAAAATCGGATTGGATTATTTTGGCCCGATCTCAATCAAAATCGAAGTTGGAGTAACTAAAAGATGGGTTGTCCTATTCACATGCTTCACAAGAGCACTTCATCTGGAAGTTGTAGGAAATTTGTCAGCTGAAAGTTTTCTACACGTGCTAAGGGGATTCATCTCACGACGAGGCTATCCGGAACGAGTTTTGAGCGACAATGCAAGCTAATTCCAAGTAGTTTGTAAAACATGAAGGAGCAGGAACACACCAGGATAGGTGAATTCCTGGCAGAAAAGGGAAAGGTTTGGAAAAATATAACACCGAGAGCTCCTTGGAGTGGCGGACTCTACGAGTGACTATAGCGACTATAGGGCTGGCCAAGAAAGCTATGAGAAGAGCTATTGGAAGAAAACTGTTATGGGAAAGAGAACTCATGACGCTGATCGTGGAGATCGAGGGTGTATTGAATACCCGGCTGTTGACTTATGGTACCTTCGATCGTAAGCCAAGAGAGGAAGAAATTGTATTAGTGGATGAACCGGAAACTCTTCGAGGCTTGTGGAAGTTGGCAAGGATAAAAGAACTCAAAAGGGGTAGAGACGGAGTGACAAGAAGCGCAGTGACAAGAAGCGCTGACCACAAAGTGTATAATATGGGAGCATCAAAGTAGAGCAATTAAGACTCTCTACAAAAGAGTGCATTCTCTTGGTGATATATTTACATATCATACTAAACAGAATAATTTGTCGGAGAAAGGGAGTATTATGGACACATTCTGTTTTCATCAATTTTAATTTTCTTCTTTTTCTTTTTTAATTTGGTTTATTGAGCTATTGAATTTTCATCCA